AAGAAGTTAACTGACACTGACCGACGCTATTTGTCTGTATTGAGATCTCATAAAATATGCTGTTACACACACACACACACACACACACACACACACACACACACGACCAGGACATATTTGAATGTCCATACTGACGGGTCCATTGTCTCATCTCGGACTTTACACATCTAACAGCTTCTTACGAGTCGTCCTAATGAAATATCATCTGCTAAAGTAGCTGATGGATGAGACATTACTTCATCCATCAACCCAGATTTATTCTATATAAAAGGATCCCAGTCAGAAAGTTGTTTTTTTATGACCTAGAAGAGTCTTGCTTGTTATTTTCAACCTTGCAAGGATTAAATGCTGCCTCCCAGACCACTTAAAAGGGAAATTATATAATAAAATACAGTATGTGGAGTAGTATTGTTCTTTTCAAAGCCACTAGATCTGACCTTATATTTGTCATGGTGACTTTTAAAGGGAGAGTTCCTTAGTTAGTATTTTTCCTATTTATCCAAACCCATTGTTGCCTTTTTAATTTAAATAGATGTTTCTGGATGCAGTTTAAAGCTGTGTGAACAATGAGGTTCAACATACATGTACATACAGAATCCCTAGAAGGTTACATTATATTATACATCTTTTTCCACTGCCCTGGTGGTGAGTAAACAAATCAATTTTAAAAAGTTTAGAAATTGGTGTATATATAAAATGTGTAAATTACTGTATGTAGTTCAATTAATTCTCCTTCTTTGGCATAACTTAAAGGTGCATTTCCACTATCTTTAAGAGAGGCTGCTACGTCCCACAGAGAGTTGGCAGTTGAGCTAAGCAAGGCTAAATTCAGCAGTAAATAAAAATATATTATCATAGCTGAATCATTTAATGTGCTTAGATCTTCAAATAAATAATTTAGGAAATACTCTTAACTCTTATTAGTCATGTCGGTCTGTTAAATATAAGGCTATAGTCAGCAGCCTCTTAGCTTAGTTTAGCATTAATACTTAAAACAGGAGGAAACCAGCAGCTAGTCTGACTGGAAAACCCTGTGTAAAATTGTTTATACACAGCTTGTGTTCTTTTGTTCAGATAGAAACATTGTGTAACTGATGAGCTTGCAGGGAGATATTTTAACCTCTGGATGACGCCAGGCTAGCTGCTTCCAGTCTGTCTAACCTGAGCGAATTACCCGCTGGCTGTAGCTTCATATTAAACAGTCAGACACGAACGTGGTATCGATCTTCTCGTCGTACGCTCTGAAAGAAACAGAATTAGCATATGTCCCAGAATGTCAAACTATTTTTTACGCATATCATAGAACTGCATGTAGATAGATAAAAACAGCCTCTAGGTCTTATTTCTTGAAATATATATATATATTTATTTATTTTGGGGCTTTTATTGCCTTTATGATAGTGACAGCTGAAGATAGACAGGAAGGGTGGTAGAGAGAGAGGGGATGACACACAGCAAGGGGCTGCAGGTCGGATTCGAACCCTGGGCCACTGCAGCAAAAACTCAGCCTCAGTACATGGGTCACCAGCTCTACCGACTGAGCTAACCAGGCGCCCTTATTTCTTGAAATATTAATTAAAAAATCAATACTTTAGTGCAGCCTGAATCACCTTTAAATTAGTATTTGTTGAGTAACTCGTGGTAAAACATTGCAGTTATGGTGTATAACTGCAAAAAAATGTCAGACCTCAGTGTTTGATTCAGCAGTACTCACAAGGCATGTTTTTCTTGGTATGCTCCGGTTGTAATACCGATTTCTGTGTTATAAATCTCTATTTGTACTTTCTCGTGTACAGAAAGAGAAATAGAGATCTGACATATTTTTCTTCTTTCCAAACATTTTTCATGGATATCTTAATATTTATTTGATCTAAATTTACTGCAGGAACTACTCTGGGTGTGTGTATTTTCTTCCTCTAAAAGAGAGAAGCAGATTCCAGCACTCATTTTTCTTCCTCCAACACCACAACCCAACAGCTGGGGAAGTTCTGTCATTTTGAGAGGGTTTAACTCTTTGGTGTTGTTGGGTTTTCCTCCTGATATGAGGTAACATCTTCTCTCCTTCCTGTGTTCCCCTCCCTCTGTCTCTTCCTGACTGAAGTTCAACAGGACTATGGGAATGATTACTGAGGAACATTCTCCAGCCGTCCTCCTCTCCTCCTCCTCCTCCTCCTCCTCCTCCTGTGTCCTGTACATAAGACTAGAAACTGTGGAAATTGATATACTATTCCTTCAAGGCCGCCATTTTTCTTTAGATGGATAATTACTCCTGATCCCGATGTTTAACCTCTAATCCCTGCAGCAGCGGTTTTTACAGTTTGTTTCTCCAGAGACCTTCTTCTTCCAAATTACTCCTGCAATCAACACATGCAGGACCTTCTCCAAAATTATCTGGATGATTTAATGGGATCTAACAGCCTGAAATTCTTTATTTACCCATTTTAAATTAAAAAGCAAGGTGACTCCACAATAAAACAAGTGGTTTAAGGCAACTTTGTGCCCTCATTTTGGTCTGGTGTAAGTTTTTAGAAACATTATTTTCACCAGATTTTCAGTCTTTATTCACGTGATGCTCTGAGATTCCTTATTATGAGCAGAAGCGGGATTGATTTCTACTATCACTTAACTTTCTTTATAGAATTGGATCGTTAATCTTGCTGAGTCATCATTTGACAGTCTCAGAGATAAAAATTGATTATCCTACCTTCCCACAAGACCAAACAAAACCCCTTAACGCTGCTGCGATGATCACCACCGCTGATCCCAGTGCCATCTGTCAACAAATACTCCACAATGCTTTACTGCAGCAGCCTCCGCTTCAAGCTCAAATCTCTTCAAAGCTAATCTCTCTTTCAAAGCCTGATGAATCAGCTAAATAGTGATGAATTGCTTTGATGCTGATTGGCAGCATTCATACTGAACAACCCCTCTGTACTCTCTTACACTGTAAATGTGATCTTTTTATTTCCGGAAAAATGATCAGATCTGGACAGCACGGGTCAGAAACCAGATTTTTCTTCAGTTTCACTAATCCACTTCCTTATTAACCCAATCTTTTGGACACCATCGTGGGTCCCAAATTCAGCTTGTGCCACTCCCATTCAACTTTTTTTTTATAGCGTACTGCCTCCTTATTGATTTAAATGGTGGTGGTGGCATTTAAGGTGGTTGTAGTCCCAGTCAGCTTTAATTTCGCTCCATGCTCATCCGTGCTGGTTTTCTGCAGTAATCCAGAAACATTCACTTAACTTAAAACTGTCCCTAAATATTCCCGCCACCCCAGTCCAACCTTTGCCTCATGGCGGCTACCAGCCCTACAACCAGCCGTACAACCCTGCTGCAGTGGCTTACAACAACGACCAAGGAGGCGAAGACGAGGAGGAGGATGAGGAGGGAGAGGAACAGCAGGACCCCTATTATCGTGGTTACCCCCCTCAGTACTACCCCCAACAGGCCCATGGCCACCATGGTTACCGCACGAGCCCCACCCACTCTGAGGACACGGAGCTGAGGTCACCGGGCGTCGCCAGGAGGTTTCCGCGCGACGCCGTCGTGGAGGAGAGTGAGGAGGGAGGACTTTAGAAGGATGGACTCACCTAAAGTGCTAGAGCCCTGCACGCCACAACACACACACACACACACACACACACACACACACACACACACACGGAAACAAATCAGACACTGACATGCACACACACGCATCATTACCCATCTAAAACTGTAGTGAGAAGCCCCCCCTCCCTGTGTGTCCAGTGGTTTTCTCTACCAGGTGAAACAATGTAAATAGCTCTGTGGACTCTTGTACAATATCTCTGTTAAAGGGGGGTCCGAAAAAGTGCCTGATCTATGTTAGCATCGTCCAGTGGTAATGTAAAGGTAAGACCTGTTTCTTCCCATCTCACAGCCGATATCAGGACTTAACCCTTCTTTTTTGTGTGAAGCTGCATGTCTCCTTTGAGCCAACCATTGAGTGTGTAACTGGACACGTGCATCTTGTTTTGGTCGTGTGTAACTAGCTAGATTCTTTTACAGTTCAAGTTGAGGGCGATGAGCCGGCAACATTTGTACAGGCTGCTTTTATAATGATGAATCCTGATTCCCCCCCCTGCCACCGCCATGCTGTCTTTATTTCAGTGTGTAAAGGAATATTGAAATGTTTTTGAAGTGATTTTCTCCGTACAGTATTGTGTTGAGTTTGCTTCTTATTTTTTTTTTATGTTTTTTTTTTTTACTATTATTGGAGTAAACACCCTAAACTGACTGTAGAAGCAGATGCATCAAATTTCTGTTAAGTTTAATTTTACCTTAACACTGTGGAATGCAATCAAAATATATAACTTTTTTAAATTATCACTTTTATTCAGAGAAAATTTGGCTGCCATTACATTTTGTCCTGTGAGATTTCCCTCTGTTGCTACTAAGATGGACCAGGTCTGTTCTGGGGTTTTCACTCGGGCTTCTGGTGAATCAAGAAGACAAATCTGTGTTGTTTGTGTCTTGCGTTGCGGCCCCAGTTTGTTTTGTTTATTGTTCTTATGCAAAGTCGGGCCTGCTCACTGTGGAAGCTGTTAACTCACTGGTTGACCTCTGACCTCCTGCTGGAATGAGACCTGGATCCAGTTATTATTCCAAACAGTCAGCTGCCTCTCAGTGAAACCAATAAGGACTGAACCACAAGTGTAAACTTCACCCCTCCTGCACTGCAGTCTGAAAAAACAAGCACTAAAGTCACTACAAGTTAAGCTGTGAGCTGGCCCTGGTTTATTTGACATTTTAACTTGAACAGTCTTAATAAGGAATGTGTCTCACCACCATGCCCCTTAGTACAATATGAACTTATTTATTTTATATTTTGTTTGCTTTTATAACCAATAAATCTGTAATGAGACTATAAAATTGTGTTTTAAGTCATTTGTTTTACTTTAATGACACAAATAGGTCAAACTTTAACTAGATTGTCCACCATTTATATAAAAACTCAACTGGACGAGAACAGGTTTATTCAGTCGTTTATTGGTCTATTTTACAACTGAACAGAATGGATTTACATTTTAACAACACTATGGAAATTTCTAACACACTGACAAGACAAAAAGCTCAGGATTTTCTGACCAACGTTAACATTTTCCACTGAAACCACACGGATGGCCTGAATGTTGTCATAGTAACACATTAATTGGTTTCTCTGTGAACCCACAAACCTTCAAAAAGACAGGATCGGTTCTAACAGATGTCATTTTTATGGGCCAGATCTGATCATTTCATGGTTGTATAATCAGAGGAAACCCCACAGAATCTGATTTTCCCCGATCAGAGCTGAGCCACATGGTAAAAATTCAAGCTGTTGCTGGGTAATTCAGGTCTGCTGTCAAGGGTAATACAACTGACAGGGGTGTACAGAGTAGCACAGAGTTTGTGTTGATGATGCTGGCATCAAGGTTATGACTCCAGTCAAGCCTCGATGCCAGTGCTGGTTATTGGATTTGCACACAATCTGACTTTGTTTTTGTTTTGTTTTTTTCAGAGAAAATCAGTTTTGCGTGCTTTGAAACAGATGACATCTCAGAGCAAATACAATAAAGAGGCCTCTGATTTTTACAATACGTCAGGTATCATAATATAATCGAGGAATCTGTTGCTTTCAGTGTAGCGTTGATGTGAAAAAAAACCTTTTCATCTTTGGTCACATCGGGCAGCCTTGATTTCATTTCATCCTGTAGCCTACGGGTCTGTGGAGGAAGCACAAGACAACACATTAGTATGGGGAGGCATATAAGTCTGGAAAAAGAACCGATTATAAGAAAAAACATGGAGAGAAAGATGACAGATGAGAAACCAGAAAGATCTTATCATTTTTTTCTTCTTTTCAAAATGAGACCAGACACAGCGTCCTCCGTTTTGTGTTTTTTTCCCCCTTTAATTTTGAACAGAGATGGCAGCAGACAGATATTATCAGGGTCTGCCGTATTGGTTTTGATACAAAGTACAAAAAACCTTATCATCAATTGTAATAGCTCTGCTATCAACTACAGCAGTATGTTTATGTTGTTGATTTTCTGTCTGAGTACTCTGTGTGTGTGTGTGTGTGTGTGTGTGTGTTTGGGGAGGGAGGAAGGAGCGGCATATCCAATAATAATCTTTTGCCTCAGCTCCAAGGTTTTCTGAGAGAATATTAACTATGTGTTTAATAAAGGGCAACGGTTGAATTGCCCTCAATGACCTCAACCCCATCTCCCCTGACACACACACACACACACACACACACACACACACACACACACACACACACACACACACACACACACACACACACACACACACACACACACAGATTTGATCACTAAAAATGAATAAGAGTGTGAGTGAATATTAACTAGGCTAAGGCCCATCTCTTAAATAAACCAGGATTAGCTTGACCTTGGCGACCACACAGCGACAGGCCTGAGCACACGCACTGATTGGCTGAGGAGATTGGACCAGTAAACAATAAGAAGTGGCTCATTTATCACTATGTGTACACACAATCTGACAGCGATGCTGAATGTAATACAGACATGTTCTACGCCTCTGTATGAGGTGCACACACAGAGGACAGTACAGTAACTAAATGGATCGCAGCCCTCTGTGTAGAATCACTGTTTTCAAATGTAAGTTATGTTTTGTTCAAATGTGTCTGAAGTACCAGATGGAGAATTTACCACATCAGAACAATTGAAATGCTTTCAGGATTGTAGTAAAGTACTATTTGTAAGTTTAAATAGTCAGTCCACCCAAATTACAACAAAACATTATCTCAATTGCCTCTTGGGGTAACTAGTCATGCAGATTTGGTTTTAGTTACCCGGGCTTTGAGAGTCTGAGATTTCTGCTGCCCTCCCACTATAATGGAGGTGAATGGAACTTATGAAATATTACATTTAGAAAAATTCAACAGCAGGTTTTTCCAGGGTAACTGGGACACGATTTCTTTAAAAGGCATGCTGCTGTTCCATTTTTCAAATGTCATTTTTAAATTCTTTAAATGCCATAAACAGACCTCCATTGTGTTGAGGTGGAGGCAGACATTTCAGAGGTTGATATCTGGAAACCTGGACAAATAAAACCAAAACCATCTGCGTGGCTGGATACCTCCAGAGTGAGAAAAATATTCATTCCACTTACATGGTGATAATTTTAAGAAGAAGAATTTTAAGAATTTGCAAATATTGTATTCAACCCAATGCAGATACAACTACACAAAATTGTATATATCACATTATTGACAGCTTAAAGAAACACATCAAAGTTGCATGATTGTGTTTCACAACCTCTAAGCAGTTAAAATTAAAAGACAGCCAGTGAACTTGAATGTTGGGCCTGCTGCCCCTGTGAAGAAGCAGAGCAACCCTGACCTGAATAAACTAGATGACGGATGGATAGATGGCGTGATGGACGTGAAGGCTAGTGCTGAGCAGGTGGAAGAGAGGATGCTCTCAGTTAACCTGTCAGAATGATATTTACTACAGGTGAGGCCAGAGAAACGCAACAGGACGACATTATCATGACAGCACACCGCGGGGTCACAATGTCAGTCTAATCTCCAACCGGAAAATACTTTACTCAAAAAGCCATGAATATGATTATGTTGAATAACAGATGCTCTCTCTCACACCCCACTTAAACCCCTCATATGTCCCACACAGTCAGGAAGAGGTGGGAAACAGCTGACTCTCCGCACAGTTATGTCATTTCAACATTTGTATTCAAAGGTTTTGCACAGCACCTAGTCCAGGGTAAAAAAAATGGAATCTTTAAGATACAAAGTTTCTGTTAAACAATAAACAAACAATACAACTGCTGGCACATCTACAGAGCACAAAGTGAGTGGCCTGTTACATTTCAGTGCCCTCCAGCATTATGTTGTTTGGTAATACAACGGCCGTCATTTATAAAGCTCTTGAGGGAATCTCACAAGCATGTAACCATCAGAGCAAAAACACAGCAAACGACACACAAAACTTTTATGTACAGTAAATAAAAATGTCAACTTGGGGGAAAAGGTCATATATTTAGGTACTAGAGCTGTATGCTAGGTCCTATAAAATAATTCACACCGGGAGCAGTATCATCACCTATTTACATTAGATTTATATTTAAATTTTTAATCTTAGAGTAAATCAAGTGGCTGCTTGTCCTACAGCCAGTCGTAGTTCTCAGTGCATCATGTCACATACTGACAGCTCTTTGTTGGCTGGAAATCATTCACACCACAGCCACATGTGTTTGTAGTTACAATGAAAATTGTTGCATCTTATTTGTTCATGCACGAGTGAAAAGTCTCAGTCAGACTGGCCACAAAAAGAGTGGGTTGGCGAGCTTTTGAATTGGACCCATTCATGCATACGTTGCTTAGTGAGACCATGAAAATAACACAGAACTGTGGAAACGCGCCTGCATGTCGGAGCAGGGCGAGGCTATTGAACCCCCGGTCCACATTAACATAAAGAATGTACCGCACTGGTTAACGGCCAGTGACACAACACCTTCTGTGTCTCTCTTCTAAAGTCAAGTTCCCCGTTTTGTTGGGACTTTCACCATCTGCCATCGATTTTTCAAACGTGCATTTGTGTTGAATGTAAAATACAAAAACGTATCATCGACAGCTTTCTGTCATTATTTTTGAAGATTTAAAGTCATTCTTTTTTTTACACGTATAACAGCACGACTAACCGCAATATTCCAAAGAAAGGATCTCACCGAATGCTACTTTATGCAAACTACTGTTTCACAAAGGCAGGATAGTTGGTATACACACAGAAATAGAGAAACAGCAATGTGAGATGGTATTCAGATCAACATCACCCCCTTCTGGCTATTCCTCATCAGTACAAGACAATAAAATAGTGTGCATGCGTGTGTGTGCGTGTGTGTGCGTGTATTACTCATTATGGTGCAAACGTCCTCATAGGACAAAAAGATGAGGAAATGATTCCCAGGTGAGGTGCTTTTAAAAGTTTGTCAGGCAATTAAAAAAGCCATCTGGTAGAAGGTAGAAGTCAGGGGTTAGCTTTACCATAAACATTAAAATGTGTCATTTTCAGCTTAGTTCAGTCAGCTGAATACAAATAGCGCTGAATGGCGAGTATGGGTTTACGCATATTTTCTCTGTAGGACATTCATTATGTAACTTGTCACCTTGTAGCAACCACAGATATTGAAAACTGTTGTAAAAACTATTTTACATCACAGTGTACAATATAATCAATAAATCATTAAAGAGCGTACCTAATGACAAGTACATTGTTGGCTTTTCAATGGTGGTGATTTAATTTAGCGTACAAAACAATGTTCAGGGAGTTTTTATTAGTGGACTAATTAAATTACATGACAGCAGCCATTATTAATTTACTACAGAGAGCCTTACATGCATCTGTAATGCTCCACACACAGACACAGACAGACAGACAGACAGACAGACACAGACACACAGACACACACACACACACACACACACACACACACACACACACACACACACACACACACACACACACACACACACACACACACAGAATGAGCCATGAGCCAATACATGCGCGCTGTGTACAGATCGTGTCTGCTTTTTATGCCAGCACTGTGTGTGTTTGAGAGCAGACTGTATGTGTTTCTACATACGGTGTCCACAGCTTGGGGAAGGCGTCAATCTCCTCCTGCGTGTACTCGCTGAGTTTCCTGGGGATTTCTCTGGCCTGAGGCAGCTCCTCCGTCAGGTTGGCTCGGATGTTGTCTGGCAGTTCCTAGTGAGGAGTGGACAGAGGAGACACTGCAATTGAAAACTGTTGGCAGGAAGATATATTCGAGGTGAAGAGAAAGAAATGAGAGAGGAAAAGGAATTGAAAGGAGGTGACATGAAAAAAGAAGGTACCATTTACACCCAGAAAGCAGCTCAGATATTCTACTCCAAGACTTGAAAAGAGATTTAGGTCCATCACTCTCCAGTGTCATTCTCATTAATATTCATTACGGGTGGGTGTGTGCCTGTAGAGTCATTTTAGAGCGGGCACATAGTTCAGACTAAAAGACCAAAATAGAGATTAAAAAACACCCAAGTTTCCAAAATACTTCTGAATTGCAGATGGGACTGCAGACATTCACAAGGCTCAGGAAGCCCATCTGTTTGCAATTAGGGATGCACACTGCACAGCCTCAGTTCTGCTGGTGGAAATCAAGTCAAGGCCAAAATAAAAGACTGGTATCTGTCTTTCCTCACTTCTAAATTCTGACACAAACACCTCATGTATTACATTACAAGTCAAGAGTCAAAGATCCTCCATTGTCATTCCTGGAATTAATGATAATAATTACATCCAGTTAATATTTGGGCCCACTGCCCGGGTCAATTAACAGCCTGTCAAGTACTTTTTTGTTTCAATTCATTGCAGAAGCTGGGATGTGTGATGCCGGTGGTTTTTGCCAGCATCAATTTAAAACTATCACAATTGAATGCTACCAAATGCCAAAAGTGCTGTCTGTGAACTGCAGTGACCACATTGAAAACTAAATGGAAACATAGTAGTCACCCATATACATATTTTATATATATAAACTGAACACAATGTAAAAAAGTTGCTTATTTACATACCTTGCAAACACAAAGCAACATATGCATTCATTTGGAGTCATGTTTCTGGCTACCTGACAAATATAAATCTAATATTTACTATCTTTTTGCTTTGTTTCGGGCTCTACCAACTTCTAGTAAATGTTCATCAGTTTGCAACTATCTGTGTTCGTCTGTCCTTTGTTGCTGAGCAGGTAGTGTACAGTGTTTTTAGAGCTTTTTCACAGAAAATGACTCAGAGCAGTGAAAGTGAAAACAGGAAAGTTGCAGGCCATAAAACCAAAACAGAACAAAAGTTCTGAAAGATGCTCAGTAAAGCTGTGGGGACTCCTTTCACAAAATAAAAATATACTAATATTCTCCTCTGTCAAACAAAGAAAATGGTGAACAACATATATTCATTTTAAAGTAATTAACTGACATTAGTTGTCAAGGTGACCTAGATGAAGGATGATTAAAACTGGCTCATTCTTTTGTGTCAGAATCTGCTAAATGATGTACCTCCTTTCTGACTGTCCTTAATACGCCTGGATGATTAAGGTGTAAGAGCGTCTGTCTGAAGACTCATCAGCACTTAAGAGATGAAGAGAAACTTGACTTACGTCCTCAGGAAAGATGTGTAATCGCTGCATCATGGTGCGTCGGTGCAGATTCCTAGGCAGCATGCCATAAACTGCTAGCTTCACAATCTGGTGAGATAAAGCACATTGACAAGGTTCACATACTGTCTAAAAGAAAGGTCTCTAAATGTCTATATGAGCCTTACATAGTTTTGAATAATATGAAAAAAGTGTTTCTCAATGTGAGGCTGGTTGCAAAAATGTGAATTCACCATGGAGAGAGTTACTGGACTGAGGTACTGGACAGAAATGTTGGAGAGAGATGTTGGACAGAGGCAGTGCTGACAAATCATTCATCTGTCCAATTCTATTTCTCTCTCTTTGCTCGCCAAACCTCCAATCCTCATTTTAACTAAACCACCATCAGGACACACGTCTGTGGTCACCGGCTGGACTAAAGCCTGCATCAACAAAGAGCCAACAGCAGAATAGATGTCTCTCCTGGTTTTGTAAACTACAGATTGGGAACCAGTACAGGTCATCCACTTACTTTTAGCGATTCCCACGTGTAGTTTCATGGCATGTTTAATGGTTACACGAGCTGCACGTGGGAAAAGCCTACGAACCCTTGCAGTGTAGCTCTCATAATGAATGATTCTGAACAGCTCTGTTGCTTTCGTGCAACACTGTATCACTCCTGCCCACTCTGATTACGGTAGTCTGAATAGGATTCATGCATGTTGATCAATGTAGATTAAGCTGGAGGAAATGAAGGAGCAGACAATAACCTGATGTTACAATAAACAAATATGATAGTAAATAAATCACAGCACAACAATACATATGAAGACTTAAGGGATAATGTCACCCTTTGTTAAAAATAACAACCCTATTCTTGTCTGTGGTAAAAACAAACCCTTTTTTTATATATATATATATATATATATTTTTTGGGGGGCTTTTTGCCTTTTTAATAGGATCTCTATTAGCTCTAGATGGACAGGAAAGGGGGAGTGAGAGAAGGGACCACGTGCAATAAAGGGCCACAGGTCGGACTCAAACCCATGGCCACTGCAGCAAGGACTCAGCTCTGGTACAAAAAGTTGATTCTATATGAGGCACAAGAGCAGCACCTTAAATCAAATGTGAGATGTCAATCAAAATATTTAGATATATAAACTGAATGGCACCAACACTCTAAAGCTTGTATCTTTTTAACAGATAACACTGGTGTTATTTCACACTTTTGTCAAGGTCAACAAATCTCATGAAAACACCAAAACCAACAGTGTGTTCGTCTAGTGAGCCCTACCCCTACCCTGTCTGTGGCACTCAACCCCCAAGCCTATTCATTGTTACTGAAGGTGTATATTTGTTTTAAAAAAACAGGTCACATTGATTTTTTTTTTTTTTTTTTTTTAAAGCTAATTCATTTCTTAAAACAATGTTACTCCAACAGGAGTAAATAGTGCATGTGTGGATTATTTTCAGGCAGATTAATACACATTTGGTGCTTTTGGTGTGTGTGTGTGTGTGTGTGTGTGTGTGTGTGTGTGTGTGTGTGTGTGTGTGTGTGTGTGTGTAGGATCAACTCAAAATAAACTACTATGTCTATGTTCATGTTCCTCATAGTGGAGGTACATGTAGCCCAGTTAATTTTATATGGTATCAGCTGCCAGTGTTTGTCAAGAACAGTATGTAGGTCACATCAAGTTCTGAATATAATTACCACTGTGTGTAACACAGTCAAGAGTCTCCAAATCCATAAATTTGCAACATTACCAAAACCCCAGGAATTATCCTTGAATTGACATTCGTACCCAGTTTCAGAAGACACCACCAGCACAAATCCACTGCTGGTTAATCCCTGTTCCCCACACTTCACATTAATATGCACAAGCAGCACATATGAAGAAAAGGATGAATGTCAAACCATGAAACACCTACTCTGCACAGCATGTGGCAGATATAAAAATTACACTAATCTCCAAGAATGTGGGTTAAATCACATATATAACAGGTCTCCACGGTGTAAGGTATGTGACAGTGGCATATCTGAGATTTTACAATTATCTCTAAATAATAATAAAAAGTAAAGAACATTGGTTGATGACACTTACAGCTTTTGGGTCTTTGTGGTGCAGCTGGGCAGCTGTGACTTGTTTGAATCCACCTGGATACCTTTGGAAAACAGATAAACCATAAGTGAGACCTTGTTGTGCATTTACAGCACATACATATAAATGTTCACATTATATATTTACTGCAACTTTTTGATTTGAGGTCATGCCAAGTGAAAGATGCAGCTTACATACTGTATATGGCAACACAATCATGGTCGTCATTAATACCCTAACAGAGATTACTTAAATGTACGTGTGTGTATATGAAAGTATACAAATACATATGACAAAGAATCTTCTCCTACAATACTATAATATAAAAATACAATACATACTATAATGAAGAACATTCTGCTTTTTAAATTAAATATTTTTTTCTCTTTTAAACAAAAGAAATACAAACAAAGGAACTTATTTTAACAGCTTTTCAGCAGTCAAAGGATGCTTGAGCATCTAATGCAGTCCCCACTGGGTGCCCCTTAAAAGAGTTATATTATTATCGTCCAATCTCAAATGTACATGCATAAAGTACAAAAGAAAAGTAATTATTTATCCCAAACAGTTACTTGTCACAAATCTAGGTGTCCAGAATGCAACAATGCAAAACAACTCTCAACAACCACAAAAGCTTTATAGTTAGCAGGTGGACAAAACACAAGTTCATTGCATCTCCTCGAGTATGATTGTGACAAGAGGCTACCGAGACACTGAAAAATGCTTTTTTGGATTGGTTCATAAGCATTGAAAAAAAAAACAACAACATGGAAACACAGAGGAAAAAGACCCAGGGAAAGTGATGTATCATGAAGTGGTATGCGCTTACCCCGTGTGTGATGAGTAGACTTTCTGCTCCCATTTGTTTCCAGAGAACGCGATGTGTTTGGTGTTTATTACTACTACATGGTCACCAATGTCACCTGTGAAGATGTTCAAGATGTTTTCTTTCAGAATTATTCTATTATTATTATTATATTATAATTATTATATTTTAACAGAGAGACAGACAGGTGCAGACATAGCATAACAGCAGCTGGTTTGCTAGACCAACAAAGATATATTTTCAAAAAAACAAAGTATTGTGAGAAAGTTACTTCATAAAGCAATAGTTAAAAGAAGGGAGCAAATATATTCATTAAAGGTTATCCTCTACTGCCATCAAGGGGATGTCCATGCCACAGCAACATTAAGCTAAGGGTGGTTTGTGGTTTCAGCGTATATAAACAGTAGTTTATACAGAGTGTAAAGGGTTATGTTAAAGTTAGAAAGTTAATCATGACTTCATATGTGTGGGACAGACTGGACTCACTGAGTGCATGGTAGATAGGCTTGTGTTTGCCCTGTAATCTAATAGAACACATGGTCGCAACCTTCCCAGGAGGCTGCATCCTGGCATCAATCAGGAACCAGGAACGAGCGAAGGTCGCCCATTGCTGAAATTTAAAAAGAAGAGAGAGAAAGATTGGGTTAAATAAACCGACTGACATAGGACCATTACAGGGAGGAAAAACAAGAGACCTGTATTTTATGTGACAATAGGTCTTTTCCATAGAAGACATTTTGAAACGTCACAGTACGAAACACACAGGTGTAGATAATAAAATTAATTGTGGCGGAGTTCCATTTAGCTGCTTCAGTTTCTGGGTCTTGGTATTGTGCTTGCTGGCTCACTGTCAGAAATTACTCTGGAATACAACAGAGACATTGTTCATTTTATTAGTAACACCTGTGCTTATTCTGATATGACAAGTTAAAATGTCTGTGAAAAAGGCATTAGACTAACAGTTTGAAGCTGTTTATTATACAGACGCAACATTTCCATTTAAATAAATTATTATTCCTTTTTTAAATGTTTTTGTACTCCTCCTGTAACAAAATGAAGACTGCATAACCCTGACGACATAAATATGCAACTAAAACCCAACACATAAAACCACAAGGGATTATCCACCGCACATACACCCCACTGTATGTCCACCAGTGCCACACTCTATGAACGTAAATCACACACAGTGTAACAGATATTACTCATTTATGGAGTGTGTGTGTGTATTAGTTTATGTTTGACAGAGCAATTAAATTAAATTAAATTAAATTAAATTAAATTAAATTAAATGACATAACGTCGTAAGAAAGAAATATTCCACCAGCTGCACATAATAAAACAATGTGTCAAGCTAGCGTAATTTCACAGCGTGATGTTCAGTAAAGGTTTACAGAGGTTGACGAGAAACAACGTTAATATTTGCCTTCTTGCAAACAACTGCATGAACTACAACGACCGTCTCTTGGGTATTTCTCTAACTTTAACCAACTTGTTACGTTACTAACGTTAGCTGACGGTTAGCGTCGTTAGCTGACGGTTAGTGACGGTACATTATCCAGCTAGCTCGTTAGCTAACGGCTCCTTTGTGACCGTTGTCCTGCATTATATTAACCTAACCGCACATAACGGTCAAAGTGTCCGATAGAAATGAGATTATTTAAGGTATACCGGGTAGGGTTAACTACCTGGGCAGATCTGGAGAAACTTGACATTTCGGTGACACTATCTGCACATCCTCAAAACATTTGACCCTCAACGTGAGTGACGGTCCGTTAGGTAGTTTCACTCGGTTGAAACAAGATTTGAGACTTCATTTTCCTATGTTACAGCTGTATCTATAGTTAAGCGCTTGTAGCAGATTGTACAGTAGATTAATGGTTACATGTTTTTATATATCAATGACAACATTTAATAAATGCTCTAAGATAATTATTTAAGCATTTATTTATGTTATCTGTCAAATAATGTTTCTACCCGGTCCTATTTTGACGTCGCATATCAACGTAGTTTCCACACTTCCTTCCCACGCCAGAAAGAGAGCGCGGAAATTTGACAGCCACCGAATAACGTTACAAAGAAACATTAGAGTTGTTTTTTAGACATTATTAAACGGATAGTTTGTCAAAGTTTGTTTCGCGAGTCAAAATAGATTAGTCCATAAAAAAACATTATCGATCTAACCTGCCGTCGGACAGAATGAGGACGTTAGAGGAGGTCCGGGCCACTCTGGAGATCGCCAAGCTGAAGGAGGAAGACCTGCAGAAAACCATTCACTGTCTGTCTTTCGGGGACAACGTTTCTTCTGCAGACTACTGCTTGATGGAGCTGGACGACACACTGTGCAAGCACATAGAAGCTGGACAAAGGTGAGGAGTTCGTATTGTGAGTTACTGTGTGTATTGCGTCTGTGTGATAAGGGAACATCATTGTTTAATGTAGGGTGTTTGTGATCACAGCGTTGATTCAATTATAGATTAAAGACTTTGAATGTCAAAAACAAGAACTCTTCACAAGTTCACCCAAAGCCCAAAGTGACGTCTTCAACATGCGTTTATTATGTAACAAAAGTCCCAAACCCAAACTGTATTTAATTTGCATTCATATAAAACAAACATAATCCCTCTTATCCGAGAGGGTGGAACCACTTAATATATTTGACTTAAATTACTAAAAACTTTTAAAATTGTTGTCAATTTAATTTGTGTAGTTTGACTAATCTCTCAATGAACTCATCATCTAAACCACTGTCTTCCTCTTTTTCTATGAATGTGGTTGTAGATAATTAAAATGCAAAGATATGTAAATGTAATCCATAAATGACAACTAACAATTATTTTCTCTTTTTCCAGTCTAGTGATTCGAGGGGATAAGGATGAGCGTGCTGTTCTCTGCAGTGGCGACAATACGTATGATCTAAAGATAGCGGACACATCCAACCTGCTGCTGTTTGTACCAGGATGCAGAACACCAGACCAACTGACTAACAGCCAGGACAGCTCTCATGTGGCACACACTCAGGTATCAAAATGACACATACACATACACAGGTACCTGCGTGGTACACTGTAACACACACAGACACTTCCTACTGGGTACATATGTACATTATGGTTAATCGCATTTATGACTCAAATACACTAACAATATCATGCTCCTCTTATAGATCTGGGGATTTTGTAACAGCTACTGGGAACTAAGGAAACATCGTCCTAAACTGAAGAAACTGAAGAAGATTTTAATGGAGAATCCTTATGAAGGACCTGCTATCAGAGGGCAGGAGGAGAATACTGAAAACAGGGTAAAAGCATATGCTAAAGTGAAGTTAATCATAATATCCTGGAGGACTGTGTATATAGGTGATGTTAAGTGTTTACTCTCTCAATAGCACCCATGATATGAGTCTGTCACCATGTAGACCATCCTCCAGGGAGAAGAACAGTACATTTTTTGCTTAAATGCTGTAAAGGGTACTATTATTTATAATCTCTGTGATGTACAGCTAGTTTTAAGGAACATTTGAATGCTAAAAAACCATTGATTATTACAGGTGATAAGTATCAGTGCAGCTCTAACTGACTGTATCATGTAATGCATCTATGTCGATATCTGTCCATGACTCATCCTCTCCTTATTGGAAGTACAGTGTGTGTGACTGCAGCATTTTGAATGTTTTAAGTGTTCCCCTCTTCTGAATGTTAGTGTAGCTGTTAGTAAGGGGTCTCCTGTGTTCCTCTGTTACCAGTACACAATGGAGGATCTGTTGGAGAGGATCCAGGCCAGTGAAGAGGAGATAAAGACCCACCTGGAGACCATCCATGCCTGTCAGATAGATGGTAAACAGTGACATTATTTGAATAATAACTACATGTACAGGTAAATAGGTTAAAGATCACCATCGATGTAGTGCTCCTGGAAGGCACAGTACAGGGAAGTTGCTTTTTTAAATACAACCTCTCTATTCTTAGCTATACTACTGATATAAATAACAAAACAGATATCTACCAGATGTTTAGAGAGAGTATAATTTCTGTCTTCCAGGCTACTGGCGTGTGCTGGACTTTGACTACGAGATGAAGCTGCTCGGTCACGTGACTCAGCTGGTGGATTCTGAGTCGTGGTCCTTCAACAAGGTTCCCCTTCAAAACAGTCTGGAAGAGTTAGCTCCACTAGAACCCAAGTACGTTAACATCTCTCATCTCTTATGTTCATGCAACCGGAAAAGCAAAAACATTGACAGTTAAGGTTTATTTTTAATCGTGTTGAGGCTTTGGATCCAAACAACGAGGTTATACAGGGTCTCTGAGCATCTTTCATAAGGCTAGATAAGTCTTATAATATATTCCAATAACTTTTCCTCTCCCTTTTACAGAGAGATGATCGAGCACTGTTTGAACTGCTATGGGAAACGCTATAATGAAAACGGTAAAGAAAAACAATCTCTGAAGACTGAACTGACAGATGTTACATTTTTATTAGTACTTTGTAGGACAATCTAGTAGTAGTATCCTACACAATTTGAAACTACACTGTACTAACATCTCTCTATCCTCCATTTAGACAAAGTTTTTTATGCACTACATGAGGATAAAGTGTGTCGGGGCGTGGCACTAATGCTGCTGCAAAACGCTGTCAAGTTCAACCTGAGGGAGTTTCAGGAAGTCTGGCAGCAGAGCGTCCCAGAGGGAATGAGCACAAGACTGGACCAGCTAAAGGTTAGCCTGTACCTCTCTTATAAACCACACTCTGAGTAAAAGAGCGCTGCTGCCTGGATTTTTAGTTATTTTCCTCTTACAGTACAAGATGTAAATTTTGGGTATAACCTTCAAACTGTTTAAAAGAAACGGTAATATACTTTAAAATTTCAACATTTGAAGAAAAAATAAAACAATTGCTTCAGCCTACACAATTAAGGCTACACATCTTTCTCTCAAGATGACATAATCAATGCAGATTCATTTTGGAGTTTTTGAGAAGCTTTCTTTCTACTCAGTAGAAAAGGGTCAACATACTGGCTGTTATAGGGGACCAATGTGTGACTGTAGTTTAAAATGTTCAAATAATCTAAACTCTTGTACAAGAGACCTAAAGATCATTAGAACATAATGGAAATATGTTGTATGATGTTAACTTGAAAACTATAAATGCACTACAGCAGGGGTCTCTAACGTGGTAGCCTATGAAGTACCCACAGCGTAATCTCAATCTTAATTAACACCTGCTAAGAAGCGTACAAATGGGTTCCATTGTGTCACAATATCTAAATACATTACTGTTTCTATTCACTAAAAGGGACAATGAGACCATGATATGAGTAGAAACCACTCTTCCCTATTCTGCCCTCCTGTGTTTGGCATTCATCCTCTGTTACTGAGAAAATTATTTCCACATCAACAATTCCAAAAATGGGAATGTGGATCCAAACATGGATGTTCATCAAGTATACAGAGCAGCCCTCCTGACAGTTTTCTCCCTTTAGTTAGCCCTCACTCTCAGAAAGGTTGGAGACCCCTGCCAAGACATTGCAGAGTGCTATATGACTTCTAGGAGTCAAGAATCCACTAAAATCAGCAGACTTTTTTTTTTTTTCACTGGCTTGAAAAAGGGAAAAACTATAGTCTCAACTCAGCCTTTGGATAATCATGCTCTGGTAATAAAAGAGCCACTGGCTGCAGCTGTTTCCCCCTGCTCATTCCTACTGACTTCTCTTGAGAAACGGACCACATTGCTGACGGGGTTGTAAATCTTCCAGAGTGTCGCCCTGGTGGACCGCACATCCCGTCCAGAGACCATCTGTCTGCTGCGGGTGGAGGATCTCCCAGAGGACACGCTGGAACGCTTCAACCACCTTTTCACACTCAGAGAGAAATGGACAGAAGATGACATCACGCCGTACATACAGTAGGTGTCATCCAATTAGGAAATTATCATAAAATTAAAGTACATTAATTTGTCTCATTAACATTAGGGTAGAAACAAATCACACATACTTTCTTTATCTTTAGTTTACAATGTGTAATCTTCCCTCTTCTCCTCCTTCAGAGACCTGTGTGGAGAGAAACAGACCACCGGAGCCCTCCTGACCAAATATGCTCGATCTTCAATGCAAAATGGCATCAAGGTCTTCAACTCCAGAAGGCCTGTGGCTACATGAACATTTCCACTGTTAACAAAATGAATGTTGTTGTTTATTCCCAGAGAGTTATTTTACATATAACTAAAAATGCGTTGTTCCCGTCAAAAGCATTTATCAGTTAACTATCTTGCAGCAGTTTAACTATGTAGCTTGTAAAGTGTATGATCCAAATAACCTATTGAAATTCAAATGTTAAGATGTTTTTTGTCAGTAAAACCAAACCTGACCTTTATTATATTTCAGCTGTTATTTTGTCTATAAAAAAATGCCACATGTTGGTAATAAAAGATGTTTTCATAACATTGTCAGTCACATAGGTTGTTTTCTCAATCTCCTCAATTAACCTCAGATGGACAAATTAGCACTTTTGTCATTTTCAACTGGAATTTACTAGGCGCTGCACTGGACATTGTCCACAAGGTGGCGGCCTATGCTGAGAAATTCAGTACAAGCTCAACACACTGACTGGATAATACAGTATGTTGTGCCTGATATCTAGCTGTTTATCTGCAGCATTAAAATTACAATTATTTTACATAAATAACTTATGAGATTCTAATGCAAAACATTTCTCTAGATAGTACAAAAAGGCATCACCATACTGGCTGCTATAGGGGTCCAATGTGTGCCTGCACATGAGGAAGAGTTCAGTAGGAACTGGCAAAAAGTTACACAGCTTTGTTTCAACACAAACACACACCTACACACATACATCTGGACTTCCAGCATGACTTCATCTTCACTGGCTGGCTCACTAACCCTGACATCACCCCTCCACGTTCACCGGAGGCTCAGCATCCTGGGTGCTAACAGGCTACCTGGGTAGCATGTCCTCTAGGTCTGCCACGACATAGGCAACCACGGCCCACAATGCTGAGCAGAGGTTCATGTCTTGAGGGTCCTGAACGGTCATAGTGTCACCTTCAGTGTGGTGGAACCAAAAGTACCGACTGTCTGCCACATGGAGGCTAGCACCTAGATGAGAGAAGGTGAAAGACAGATGAAATACAAACTGTTACAATAAATGTTACACGTTCAAGAATCAACTGTTCAGACTTAAAGCCAAAAAAAGGCTACATCTGATAAAAAACATCTGCATCTGCGTCCAGCATCTGGTTTGATCCTCCAGGGACATTTCTGTGGAAGGGGAACGTGAGTCTGAGGTCTGAGGAGTGGTTCAGTTCCTTTTAACAATAACTCATTAAAGCTGTTGATCTGGTCCGATTCTATCATGTGGTAAGCCAATAAATACTGACTACTTGGTTAAAGAAGAAATCCTGTTGCTGGTCTTGGCTTTGATAAAACAAATTTCACTTCTCGTTGCGGTGACCTTTCTGTTTCAACCTGCTTACAAGTTATAATATCAGGCCTGCTTTGATTTTCTGATGTATTTGGAAAGAATAATTATTTTAATAATGTGTCGACAGAAACATTAACTTTTTATTACTTTAACTTCTGGTATGTGCTTATGTACTGGAAGCTTTGGTTTATGAGCAAAACTTGACACTAAATCCACTTACATATTATATGTACATTACACTCACTTCATTATTCTACCAATTGATCGTAGTCCCTGACTATAGTGTTCATGGACATGGCCGTTCTCTGCCTTTTTCTAGAAAAATGTGAGTGTATGAATGATTTTTAGTGTTATTTTGCTATTTATGCGTGGGAAAAAGCTAATGAGTAGATGTTGACTTTGGATTCTTTTCCAAACTACTGTTTGACTGTCAAAAATTAACTTTCATTCTTAACTTTAAGCCAACATGGAGATCCTACTGATGAAAGCATAAGCCACTGAACTAATGAACTATTTGTCATTATCACCCAGCTTACAACTCCACCCTCCAGCCCAGCAGGTGGCGGTAAATTAAGAAGAACTCCTACCAACCACCAATTAATAAAGGGAAGAAGCTGAAGTTAGTTTGTTTTTAGCTTTGGTTAGCTATCCCTGCAGACTATAGTCCGCTCAAACATGGGTCGCAGGTGCGCTTATCCCGAGTGCAAGCTGACCGAGGGTCTGCACTCTCTGCCGGCCAACAGATTGATGGCACACCGCTGGCTGAACGCTTTGGGACGGGTCGACATACCCTCCGCTTCTGTTTACGTGTGCAACCTCCACTTTACGCGCGAATCTTTCTCCAACTACGCAGAGGTGGAAATGGGATTCAAAAAGCAGCTCCTGCTCAACCCCGACGCAGTCCCCACCCCCGCCACAAGGGGGGGACAGGTGAGTGAGGTCTACCGGGGGACGTGTGGCATACCTGGGTTTATAAGCCACTTCCCCCCCAAAAAAGAGGGGGCACGTTTATCCCTGGCCCTCCCTCTGTGAAGTGTCCACTCCCATGATTCATAGCGACCGTAGTCACTTATGACAGGCTGCACAGGTACCACCTGTCCGACTGGTACCAGTGTCCACAGAGCTCCTTATTAAGGACAGTTTCAAAACCTTACAGTATTTATTTACAGATAGGTTTTATTGATCCCACAGTGGGGGGGATTCACTCGATACAGCAGCTCCAGATATACACAACAGATAAGATAAATTAAGCACATTAAATACAAAATATAAGAGAAAAATACAAGATAGGGGAGAGTGGGGTAAGTTGAGCCACGCCCCTTGTTGCTAGGAAATGGTAAAAAAAAAAAAAAAAACATTGATCATGTGACCAAATATTTAGGAGGAAGGCATTATTTCATGGAGTCTGTGAATGTAAGAACCACATGGGTAAAGTGGTTAGATATTTATTTCCAAAAAATCATTTTTCACTCTTGAAAGTGAATTTAGTCTATCATGAGTTTCATGAGAATTGTGTTTAGACCAAAATAGATCATTTTAAATTTGTTTTATACATCAACTGTGGCATCTATGAGCTACAACATGAGGTCATAAACCTAGCATAAAAGTGCACCATTTTAGCTGTGGGGACTAATAAAGTCAGAATGGTTGCTCTGGGGTAAGTTGAGCCGGTGGCTACAGCCCAAACAGACCACAAGACCACTTTTTTTGGACATGCTATATTATCGAAACAGTTATGTTTACACTCATTCTGTTTGTTTGAAAGGATGCACAACCTCCTGAAATATATGCAGATATATTAGTTAGCGACAAAACTATGATTGCCTTGATGTAGTGATCCTAAATATGAAAAATGGCTCATCTTACCCCACTCTCCCCTATATATATATATATATATATATATATATTAGTGTAAAAAAAAAAAAAAGGCTATAGGCTCTAGACAGGGCTATGAATATACAGTACAGGTCTAATGTGTATGTAGGAAATTCTATAAATATGTGAAACAGACAGATAATTAGATAGAAAGAAGAACTGCTGCTTTGTGTGATGTCCACAACTCTTGCAATAAAATGACTCTGCCTAGGATACACCTGTGTTTGCTCCAGGAGCCTCCTCTCTCCTCCATGCAGCTCTCCTCTTCTCTCCTCTCCTCTCCTCTCCTCTCCTGTACTGTCAATAAGTTCTCTACAATGTCAGTGACATTGTGAAATATGAAGAGAATAAAAAAAAGTTTGGCCTCCTCAAGGTGCATTACAGGTATTGGAAGAAGAAGAACCTCCATGGATGGAGGGAGGGAATGATTTCCGGGTAGGATCATTTAACTAACCTCCTCTTCCTCCTCCTCTTCTTCTTCCTCCTCCTCCTCCTCTTCTTCTGGTGCTCGCTGGCACTAAACTCACTTTCCAAGATGGAAAGAAAACAGTCCTGGCGCAGCTGTTCGGTCGTCGGCTGCAGAAGAGAGAACAGATCTGCATATTTCAGCCTCCCTACATCTGAGGACTTAAAGACTCAGTGGTTAAAGTTTATCTTTAACGACAACGTTCCCATAACAACCAGCAGCTGTTTGTATGTGTGCCCCAGCCACTTTGAGGCAGACTGCTTCACTAATGCGTGTCAAGTCAAATTGGGATATGCTTCAAAATTGAGGCTCAAGGAAGGATCGATCCCGACTGTGAGAGACCCAAGTGTAAAACCAGAAGCTGTGAGTAAACATTGCTGCACAGTATCGCCCGCTAGCACACCTCTCTTGTCTCTGAGGCTTTAGTCTGTGTCCACCTCACTGTCCAACCCTCATTGTGCTGCCAGGACTGCGGTTTTATCTGCTACATATTGGGAGGAAGACGAGCTGGATGTAGTTCCTGACGATAGCACAATGCTAACGGGACTTTACTCCAGCCACGGGGAGACTACGTTGCTTATTGAGGACTCACAAGATCCCCAAATGAGGGTTTTTGTCTCTCGGGGCTTCCTGTAAAGTGGCTGCATGATGCTGAGGTTTAAAACAACCTGTAGCGTTGGGGCTGAAGTTAGCTTTAATGTGCAGTTTGCAGGCAGGTCTGCAGCATTAGCACTGTGCTCACTCTGGTGTATTTATTATTCCTCTACTTCTTCCCCCTTCTTCTCTTTAGTGTGTTACTGCCCTCCACAGGGCAAAAGAATAACTTAAAAGTCATTCCTGTAAGCTTGTACAGTCTTGGTGGCTCTCATGTCAGCATAATGGAGAATAATAGTTTATGTTAAACACTACAATGCTTCCCTTGGTGTGTTCTTGTAGTTTAAACATCATGTTAAACAGTGTCACAAGAACCACTTAACATAATGTAGTTGCATGTTTTCCTTCATCCCACAGTTGGGTATTTTTTGGGATGAAGATGAATATTTGTTTGTAAAAAATAATGCACTTAGGTTGAGAGACGGACTAACACATTTATAATCTTTCCATGGGATTTGTTGGCAACCATAAAATTTACTCGAGTATATCGTCCTCATATCTTCAGTTTATATAGAAAGTATTAATCTAATAATAACAGTGGTAATAATGATAATCTAATAATAATAATAATTTATCCATATAGAGGGTCTAAAGACAAATAATTCAATATGCTATGCAGGTTGTAAAGCCCTGTGAGGCGAATTATGATATTGGGTTAAATAAATAAAATTAACTTGACTGTGGTATTATAAGCCACACGTATTTGTGTGTATGAAAAAAAAAAAGAGAAGTAAATAAGTAGATTAAGGACTCATTTTTAGAAAGTTAATGAAAAAATAAAAGAGAAGAAGGAAAATAGAATGATCACAAAAGAAGAGTAATGTCTCCTTTAATCTAATTTTCTTACTTCTTTTACCTTCCGCTTTGTCTGAATATTTGAATTACACTCTGCCAAAGGATACAATGACATCTATTATTATAGTATCTGCTTTCTTTCAGCCCATAGTGTAAACCCAGAAGACTCCCAACTCCTAACAAAGCATTCAGTACTGGAAACCGCTTCTAGTCATAGTATTAACTTCACAGATGTCACAATGGGGTTTATTTTTGCTCACAATATAGTAACTTTTGAATATTTCCTCCCAAATTTAGTTCTTTTAAATAAAGTTTGGCTGTGCTCTTTGTCGCTGTATAGGGCACCGCTGGCAGTGCTTGTCGAATTCTTTCAGTAAGACACGTGGCCTCCCAGACTGACCCCCCAGAAAGAAGATCTGTCAGCACACAGCTGTCCACAGGTTTGTAGTACCACACATCATCAAATTATAGATTAAATTTGGCTTTTACTCACTATTATAGTAATTGTGCTCATTTATATTGTTTCCCCTAGATAACAAATCTGTTGGCACACAGCTATCCACGAAAACTTTGCAGAACCACTTCCGAAGTACAGGTTTGTAGTCATATTTATCATTAAGTCATGATATGTTCAATTTAATTTAGTTAAACTGTTAGTTTAGTTACTGTAGACACTGACTACTGGATTACTGATTTATTTATTTTTTTGTCCATTGCAGCTACGCAGGCGAGAGTGCCCAGCAGAGACTGCGGTGTGTGCACTCTCACCTTCCCCTTGGACAGCCCATTACTGTTCCTACAACCAACAATAGTAAAGGGACCATCCAAGAGACCTCGACTCAGCCTTACAGACGAGGAGGAAGGCCCTTCAGAGTGCAGCTTGTCTATGGTGGTTCGTGAACCAGAGGATTCAACATGACTTTGTTGACTCGCTGTCGTGGGTTAGCGGCTGTGTATTTTCTGTTTACCTTTTCAGGAATCTCTTCATGGAGAAGAGTTGGTGAATGACAGATTAGTGAATGGAACAAATATGAATGCTGAAGACTGATTATTACCATTACCATACCAGGAAGTAGGCTGGTGGTATAAGTCTGCCATCGGGCGACTATTTCAGTCTGCATTCTCCTTCCCTTCCGCTAATCATCGAACACTATTTTTCAAGGACACTTTCCCAGCATGCTGGGCTTAGCGCCGCCCAAGACGATTGTGATTGGTTTAAAGAAGTGTTTTCCACCGCGTACCACCTCAGAAAATATCAGGCTCTCCGAGGACTACCGTTATGACCAACGTTAACGTCACTTTCAACTTTCACCGAGTGTTGTTCGGTTAATGCTTTAAAGATGGGCACATGTTTATGGGTCATGTCTGGCAGAAGGTCCAAATGTTTTTTGTTTTCAGTTCTTCCTCTACAAGGTATACCACAATGTCATTATGGTAATGTGATTTTACACACTACTAAAACTAGACAGAGCGGGGCCATATGTTTGGACCATTTCATATCTTCCAATACCGCAAAGATAGAAACCGACAAATACATATTTTCATAATCAAAACTCCATTAAAACTGAGGCAAACAGCTATGGCTTGATACATACCACAGTGAAGTAAATATATTTAGGTTCAGGTTCAGTACTGAAGTGTTTAAATTGGTTCATTTACTGTATTTTATGCCATTAATGTATAAGAAATGGTAACTAACCACACAGATTTTAATGTAGCTTTTGTGTGGAGCTACTGGTAATATGTCCGAATGTTGACTACAAGAAAACTGTAATTTTACTGTCGATTAGTAAACTGTCACCAGCCTTTGTAAAGCTGGATCCTGTAATGGTTTTCATCATATATACAGAGGGGATTCTTTTGCTTTTTTATAGGAAAAAACGGGTTCAGTAGACGTGTTGTAATAAAACAAAGTTCTGTTCTGTTATTTCTATTCTTATCGTGTTTGTATGTTTAGTGTTTATGGACATAAATTGTGTATTCACGGTCCAAGGAGAGAATCTCGAAGCCCCCTTTTTTTTTTTTAAGGCAGTTTTAATTCAGAGGCGCAAATTGCATTAATTAAAAAAAGCCAGCCCAGCAGATTTTTTTTTTTTAAATGAAAACTGATCTCATAATTATGAGTTAATAAGTTGTTATTTCCAGAATTGTTTTACGTGAATGCAATAAGATTCATAAGAAACACAGTCACGGAAATGACAGACTACTTCCTCTAAGTCAGTTGAGTGTCAGGCTCACATAAAAGGTCATATACAGAAAATTGCTGGCAAGAATGCTGGGATGATAGTAAAACAGGAAGGAATCTAAAAAAATGTTTTTTACTGGAAGAATACAGATCGGGAACTTGGAGGAAAACATCATGACTAGTTTGAGTCAAGGACAGACGAGCCTCAATAAATCACTTTATAAAACAGGTGAACACTCAACTGAAGTATGTACACTATAATCAGCCAATATTCACACCAAGCATGTGCTGCTGAACCATCACTCAAGGAACCAAAACATTGAAAACTGTTTGGAAAAATATATAGTCGTTCCATTGACATTTTATGTTTTAAAATGTTACCTGTTACCTAACCTTCCTGTTTCATCAGCAATTCTTGCCTGAAAGTTAAGCTTCGTCCACACCAATATGACTATCAGCAATACATATTAACCTTATTGGTTCCACAGAGATACCATCAAGATTTTGTCTATTTCTTCATTGACATGACCTTAAACTGTCCCTTGAGCTTTTTATAACTGCACAACTTCCCTATTCCCTTCAAATAACATAGATATTCAACCAAAGCCATCCCATCTGGACTAACCCAACTTTATATTTTGGAGGAAGTGGCCTTGTAAATGCACAAGAAATGCATAAGAAATGTAATAATGAATATATTTGTCATTCTTGTCTACGTAAAAACAAAATGGCTCATCGAGGTAAATTCTATTGGAGCTCACAATTGGAAAAATAAATTGGAAAATACCCTTGCTAAAAGTTTAATCTTTCCTGATAACAGGAACTTTTCTGATGAAACTACACATTTATTTTGTCAGTGTGAAATAAAAATGAAGATTTTGGTCTGACTTAATGTGTGTAACACATCTCTAGAATACTTATTTCTTCATTTTATGAGTTTATAGGGGAAAAACTGTTTACTTAAAGCTGCTGTAGGTCACTTTTATAAAAATATTTTTTTTATATTTGCTGAAATGTTCACTGACAGTAGTACATGAGACAGATAATCTGTGAAAAAACAGGTCCCTCTGGCTCCTCCTAGTGCTCCTATAGCTAGAATCCACCAGGCCTGAAAGAAAACAACCAATCAGAGCAGAGAAAGATAATTGATTGTTGAGTCTCATTCCCAGGTGGTCAAATATCAGTGCTGGGAATGAGACTCAACAATCAACTATCTTCAGGCAGCTGGCAGGATACAGTGAAAGTTTCAGAAAATAGTGAAAAGTAGTTTTTTATAAAAGTTACCCACTGCAGCTTTTAACTTAGTTCTTTGTTCACTGATGGATTGTTAAGAATTTTATTTTATTGTCTGTCCTTATAAATATATATTTTTTTCTTATTGTTGACTTGAACACTATAAATCCACTGGTGCTATATGACTTCTAGAAGTCAAGAATCCACTTATAGTTTTTTGTCTTTCAAGCCAGTTTGCATTTCATTGCATCTGACCTAAACTGGGTCATTATGAAACAGTCTCAACTCAGCCTTTGGATAATCATGCTCTGGTAATAAAAGAGCCACTGGCTGCAGCTGTTTCCCCCTGCTCATTCCTACTGACTTCTCTTGAGAAACTGACCAAATTGCTGACGGGGTTGTAAATCTTCCAGAGTGTCGCCCTGGTGGACCACACATCCCGTCCAGAGACCATCTGTCTGCTGCGGGTGGAGGATCTCCTAGAGGACACGCTGGAGCGCTTCAACCACCTTTTCAGAAATGGACAGAAGATGACATCACCCCGTACATACAGTAGGTGTCATCTTAGGAAATTATCATAAAATTAAGGTACATTCATTTGTCTCCAAATCACACATACTTTCTTTATCTTTAGTTTACAATGTGTTATCTTCCCTCTTCTCCTCCTTTAGAGACCTGTGTGGAGAGAAACAGACCACTGGAGCCCTCCTGACCAAATATGCTCGATCTTCAATGCAAAATGGCATCAAGGTCTTCAACTCCAGAAGGCCTGTGGCTACATGAACATTTCCACTGTCATGAAATAAACTTACATTTGAAAATGAATGTAGTTGTTCATTCCCAGAGTGACCTTTCAATTATTGCCAAAACTGTATCCTCATAAAACCCTATAGTTGTCCTTAAAAGACCTTGTTAGTGTTGAAGGTATTTATCAGTCAACTATCTTACCTTCATTATCATTACAGGTGGTGTTCTGTCTCCTATTGTCAAATACTAGACACTGGGCTGGAGGATGCCCATAGGGTGGCAGCACATGCCGATAAATTCAGTGAAAGCGCCACCCAACTGACAGAATAATACAGTATGAGCTGCCTGATATGCTGCTTCAACTGACTTATAACACAGAGCACAACTTATTATTGTAATTACTTATAACTGTTTTGATTCACTGATCTGCATAATGTTGTCAGGTTGTTGGAACCCATGAAGTTTCTGCAGACTGGATGCTGATGATGCACAAAAGTATATATTTGATATTTTGATAATCAATTATTGGTTTATGTAATTTTAAGTAAAGATCCATCCATTTTCCAGCTTCTCAAATTAAAATATTTTCTTTTTTATATTTGGGTTGGGTTCTGGGAACTTGTAATGGCCATATTTATTTTTCGCCTACAATTCTGCAGCCTAAACAATTACTTGAGAAAATAATCAGTAGGTTATACAATAATGAAAATAATTGTTAGTCATATTTAATTTGAAAGAAAAACCCCACAAAGAATTAAATTCCTTTACTCAGATATTCCTTCTCACTAGTGAGCTCTCAGACAAGGCTGGGCATTTCTGATGCAACTATTCATTTATTTGCACAATGTTTGCAATCTAGATAGAAGGAAAAGAATCACCATACTGGTTGCTTTAGAGGTCCAATGTGTGCCTGCCTAATAAAAAATGTCTAAATCTCAAACAGGAGATCTAGAAATCATCAAAGAAACATGGGTTAATTTTAATTGAATTTATATGATATACAGTATATATATATATATATTATATAAGCTGCTCAAAATATTTGCACACCATTTTACTGCATATTGCATATATACTTTTCATTTATAGTATATATTTTCTATTATATTTTGTAATATTCTCATTGTTATTGTACTTCCACTTCTGTACTCTTTGTACCACGTTCCACTATGCTGCTTTGTCTAATTTGAACTTCCTATGGGCGATCAATAAAGGTACATCTTATCTCATCTTATCTAATGTAATTTCAAACACTCCTGTCTGATGTTGATATGTGCATGTGGTTTTCTTTTGTAAATATCCTTTTTGGGCTTTTTTAAAATTGCCTTTAATCGATAGTAACAGATGAAGAGTGACAGGAAGGGGGGAAGAGAGAGGGGATGACATTCAGCTACAGGGCTACAGGTCTGATTCAAACCCATACCTGCTGAAGCAAGGCTGAGTCCCTCTACCAGCTGAGCTACCAGGGCGCCTCGTGCATGTGGTTTTCTACAGATCATGTCAGCAGGACATATGTGTGATTCAGTGAGCGTTAAACATCCACAGACTGTGTGTTTATTCACTAACATAACTGTCAGCATGGGAATCAGTTTTACTGGCAGACGACAAAGAGTTGAATAGAAACTGGCTCAAAGTTACTCAGCTTTGTTTCAACACAGACACATCTGTGTTTCCAACATTACTTTATCTTCACTGGCTGGCTGACTAACCCTGACATCACCCCTTGAGAGTGTTGACTTATCAGTTCATGGGATAAGGAGATCCGAGCAGTGTGTGTGTGTGTGTGTGTGTGTGTGTGTGTGTTTTGCATGGCATTTTCAAAATGATGAATTCTTTACTTCCTCTCCTCGTCTGTATAATCTTTCTTCCTTTTTTTGACTCTGATCTTCTCTTCATCCATCATGTCACCTCCTGCTTCTCCTTTCCATGAACAAGATGTCTAATTTGACATCATCTTCACTCCTATTCCTCTTTCTTGTGTCAGAGAAACCACAAGATCAGCAAAATTCAAAGTATTACAGCAGAAGGGTAAATGGGAATAATGGTGTAAAGCAATGACTAATACTTTATTAATATATTGCAACACTGCAATGATGATGTACAATATTACAGATAATCCTGTAAATTACCACAGTTCAGCACAATTCAAGCAGGATCAAACCTATACCAGAATGATCTAAAAACAGATTTAAAAAAACAGAAAATATGTCCTTTTCAGTAACCATGAAATTTGTCAGAAAGCTTACAATCAAAGCACAACTGCATCCTGAGAAAAAATAAAATAACACAAAATATACAAAAAATATACTTTCTCATTCTCTCACTTTTTTTCTACAATCTCACAGACATCCTTTGTATATTAAGGCATGAAGAGATGCAACGTACCTGAGAAGTAAGGGAATACTTAGCTTTTGTTCTTGTTTGAAAGCATTCAACATTTGAAAATCTTTTTACTTGAAAAAAGATGCAATTTCTCCGTCATTCTAAGCCAAATCTGTTGTTCTCTGCTGTATATCATTATGTATTATGATCATATAAGCATCTACTATGTTGCTTTTTCAATAAAACCATTCCTTGTCCTGTCTTTGGTCCGGACTGGACTTTAGCTAGCTTGCTTTAGATTCCAGATAATCGTTACACAGCCCTGAGCTACAACATTATCTAAATCTATTAGGTATTCATTTAAAGAAAAAAATATTTTTGTGATTACCAATGTTTTAATTTACTATTATTCAATATCTCTTGTTTATCCAAGGATAAAT